CTCAGAGCCTAATGCCTTTTATTGGACCTTTTAAAAATGATTATTTTGTTTATTGTGTTTGTTATTCCTGTGGCTCCACTTACCATGTTTAGCATCAATTTATACAAGTATTCCTGGTTTTCTCTTCCCTTGAATTGCTTATTATTTACCATTTATCACAGCACAATAACAAAAGATGGTTACCCACTTTATTTCATTATTTTTTAATTCAAAAATACTGCTACAAATGTGTTAATATGTGGAGACGTTCTGTCTTTGAACTCTTCTGCATATAGGCCTAGTAGGGGAATCACTGAATTAAAGGGTATGAACGGTCTAATGACCATGTCACATAATTCCAAATAGCTTTCCAGAAGCATCCCTATATTTTACTAATGAGTCTTCAGGTAGCAGAGCAGATAAGGGGCAATCCAGGCATGGTGCTAGGCCTCTGGCCTAGAACTGGCCACTTGGGCTTGTGGGTGGACACTCCTCTGGGGCTGTACAGTTCACATGACCTGTGGTCACTCACCCTGGTGTGATGAAGAAAGGTCATCCTGATTGAAATGAGGTATTATCACCTTGGTGTAATGGGAAATGGACTGAACTGGTAGGCATCTGTAGGACCTGGGAGGCTGAGCTGAGGTGAGAGAGAGAGGGAGGGAGGGAGGGGGGAGAGACAGAGAGAGAGAAAGAGACACAGAGACAGAGAGATAGAGAGAGACACAGAGACAGAGAGGTAATGGGAGGCAAGTAGGGAGCTTGAGTGGATAGAGTGCTTAGCCTGGAGTCAGGAAGACCCGAGTTCAAATTTCACCTTAGCCACTTACTGGCTGTGTGATTCTGGGCAAGTCACTCAACCTCTGTTTGCCTTAATTTACTAGAGAAGGAAATGGCAAATCACACCCGTGTATTTGCCAAGAAAACTCCATGAGTGTGGTGTGTATATGTATCTATAGAGCATACATGTGTATGTGAGATAGTCTGTGTAAGCATATGTTACCATTATGATTATTTTAGGGTAGGATTTAGAGGAAGTGGGGACCCCCAGACATCATCTTGAACCTTTCCCTTAAGCAACACCAGATCTTCCAGAGTGGGGTGTGATTTTCTGAGCTTACTGTCCCTCGAATGTAGAAACATGTCTCCGATCACCAGATCACGCCTCACACGCTCACAGAATTGTGAGCTGCATGTGTTCTGCAGCCATGGCTCATCCCTGGTATCCTGCGGCCTGTCCCTTGCCCCTCTGCCTCTTGGATCCTTCCCCAGGTCTTCCTTGGTGCCCCCAGCTGCTAGCACCTCCGTCTCTAAGGCCATCGTTCAGCTGTTCACTCCTGTCCAGCTCTTGGTCATCTCATGGACCATACTGCCCATGGGGTTTTCTTGTCAAAGTCATTCTCTCCTCCAGTGGATTAAGGCAAATGGCAGTTAAGTGACTTGCCCAGGGCCACACAGCCACTTAATGTCAGGCTGGATTTGAACTCAGGATTTGAGCCCGTCTTCCTGACATTCTGCCCAGAGCTCTGTCCACTGGGCCATTTTGCTGCCCCTCCCCCACCTTTTTATTTTTTATATTTTTGCAGGTGAGACAGGTCAGCCTCTGAGCCCGTCTTTTCATTGGTTCCCTTCCACCTGCTCCGTTTGCATCTTGTATGTGCCAGTTGGTACATATCAACTGCCCTCCCCCCATTTGGTGACCTTCCTGAAGGCAGGGACTACATCAGCCTTTCTTTGTATGCCCGTTCTGGGTGGAGGCAGTGGGTGGGGCCACTGGTAAACATTGGGGTCACAGCAGGCCAACCAGGGCTACCCACATACGTGGGGCCTGAGTATGTGGCTCTGGCTACGCTCCAGGCCAGCCCTCCTCAATTCCATCGCCAATCTGAATTGTGTTTGTGGTGGTGATGTGAGGTTTCATGTGCTTTGCCAGCTCCTGGAGAATCTGATTGTCGAATTACATTTTGGGCAGAAGCCCCACCGTGCACAAACGCTGAGGCTGCCAGACTGGGGGCTGGTAGATGCTTTCCACACGTGTTGCATTTTGTTGGAAGTTAGAGGAGACATCCCTCTCATCTGCTTGTCCTGGCTTCCATCACAGGCCTTGCCTGGCCCCCTGGTCACCATAGGTCTGACCACCATTAGCTGTCCAGAGCACAGAATCCTTCATCTAGCGGGGCACACCCCTGCCCAAAGCTGGAAGGAATCTCTCTTACGTCTGATTCACTGATGACAGTCTTCAACACATCAGGGCTTTGGCACTGCAGTAATTTGTGGGTGTGCTAATCTCCCCTCTCTGGGCTGGCTGGGGCTGGGGGTGGAGGGAGGAGAGTTCTAGCTTGGTGATTCCTATCCTTCCTTATTATTCTATCGCCCATTTCACAGTCAAAAAATGTTTCTTGGAGTTTAATTCTAATTTCATTTCCTTCTAAAGCATATCTCTCCTAGAAAAAGTGCCCTGACCTGTCAAGTTATTTTTTTCTTTTCTTTTCTGTTTTTGTTTTTGTTTTTTGCTTCCCCCCTAGGCAATTGGGTTAAGTGACTTGCCCAGCATCACACAGCTATTAAGTGTCTGACATAGGATTTGAACTCAGGGCCTTCAGACTCCAGGGCCAGCACTTTATCCACCATGCCACCTAACTGCCCCAATGTTTTTTTTTTCTTTAAATAAAAATAACTGCCTTATTAGTTCTCAAGCATTCGGAAAGAACTATGCTCCTGTCAGTGAACCATTCCCTGTTAGATTTTCCAAACCTGGAAAGAAGGCAGTTCACATGCATAAGCAAGCCCAGTATGCAGCTGTGCACCATGATGGGCTGTGGGCCACCTGCCTGATGCCCTTCATAGGTTCCATGAACACATACACTTTGGTGAAACAACATCGAAGGATGAGGTTCTTCGCACAGGCACAGTCCTGGCTGGGGTAGGGAGGAGCTGAGGAGAGGCAGTGACCCTGAGGCTCAAGGTTGGGGCTAGGGTGTTTTGCCGTATTTCCACTATTGTTCCACTTGGGACACAGGTCCTCGGGGTGAGCCTGCTGCTTGTTTTAGACGAGTGTTTTACGTGCACAGTCCTGAGGAGTAGCGTCTGCCTGAAGACCTGGACAGACAGCTTCCTCCTTGCACAAGGATTCACACTTCTTTCATGCCCACTGCCTTCTTCTGCCCTCACAGCAAGGCCCCAGAAAAGGCATAAAAGCCCCTGTTTTATACAGGATGAAACTGCTATGTTGATGGATAGAGCCTTTTATCAGCACTTACCACTGTGCGCAAGCTAAGGGACCGCTGGAGTGGGAGCCCCCTGAGGGCAGGGCTGGCTTTGCCTTGCTTGGAGTCCCCAGGGCTTGGCCCAGAGCCTGACACTGGTAGTAAATGGGAGAGCCCAAGCAGAGTCCCTCAGGTGCAGGTCTCCTCCCGTGACACTTTGCTCTCCTCAAGTTCTCAGTCCCCTTTCATTTCCAGCTGATCTTCCCCAGGGGTGGACATCTTCCTGTGGGGGAGCCGCAGACCGAGAATCCCTGCTTGGCTGCCGCCTGGACATCTCCTCTTGTTCCTCAGTTTCTGTAGCTGCAGAGAAAATCGGCCATCTCTTCTCCATCCCCTTTCAGCCGTCTTTACCTGCTCTTCCCTGAGGGAAGATTTGAACTCTGAATAATGTTTGTCTGCATTCGCATAGCTGTGTCTACCTTAATTCCTTCAACTGAACAAATATGTGTATGTACACATATACACTCAGTTGTCTGTTATCTCTATTATGTATCTGACCCATAGGGTCCACTCACATGATGATTAACTGCTGACCCATCGTGACCAGTACTAGCCACAGAAAGAAAAAAAAAAAAGGATGCAGACATTCCTTTGCTTTCTCCCAGAGCGTCCTGGTTGACAAGCTGGTTTGATTTCTAATACGTCACAAACAGTTCAATATTATTGAATCACATTTTATTAAATGATGTTCTAAATCTATTGGCTGCTATCAGCCGGGCGTGCAATGTCAAGCCACGTGGCAGCTTCTGGCCTCTCTCCTGAGGCTATTTTCCTGAGTCCCTGCTCCATCCCCTTGTAATTTTCTTCTCTGGACCTCCCTTTGTTCGTCTATAAAGTGGTGAGACTGATTTAGAGTTACTCAGCGCTGCTTCAGCTCCAGACACTACGCTGTAGCTTCCAAGTTTGACCTGGGCTTGGCAGCAGCCTCTAATTTCAAGGTTTGCCAGCCCAGCAAAGCCAGGTGCTAGGATCAGCAGAACATATCACTGTCCCTGCTCCTCGCTGGTCCAGGAGCAGGTGACATGGGGGATGGAGCAGAGCTCCCGCGGCCATATGATCTTCAATCTCTTTTCCCTTCATTATGGCACAGATGCTCATTTCTCTCCTTTCTGTCTTCTCCTAGCCTCTTCACTTTGGGCTCACAAGCAAAGACATTGCAAGTCTGCTCTGCTGTGCATCTTCCTTGTGCCCCAGAGTCTGCTGTTCAGTTCATGGCTGTGCCTGAAATAATTAGCTGGAAACCCCCATGTGCTCAATGGTTTCAATTCATCCAGTGTTCCCAAAATGACCTGATGGAATGACACCGCCCACACACACTCAGCTCCCAGCCCTCCTAGGAAGCACATTTCTTCCATGTCTGGAACAGTGCTTGGCCTTTGTTCCAATCAGTCTCCCAGGTTCAAGTCCAAAATGTGAGTGTACCTGGAGGTGGGTGGTGGGCACGGGGAGGAACGCCCTTTCCTGCCTCTTTAAGGAACTGGCAGTTGGAGAAGAAAGAACCTTCCCTATTCAGAACCCAGAGTTTGAAGAAGTTGGAGATTTGGGCAGTTAAGACCTTGAGCAGGGGAACCAAGTGGGAGTTTGGGTGGGATGGAGAAGCCTTTTCAGCCTAGGTAGCCAGGGCCAGAAACAGGCAGAGAATGTGCCTTAGAGCAGAGGCTCACAGGGCTGGCAGGGTGCTCACTGCTCCCGTCAATGCTGCGGACCTTCCCGGCACTTCGTCGCAATGGGTAGCTTTCGGTCAGTTTCTTCTGGAATCTTAGTTACCTAAGTCAGGTCACTGAATTTGGCCAGAAAGTGGACCTTAAGGAGCCGAGTCTGGCCACTTACTGTACAGAGAATGAAACTGAGGTGGTGGGTGGAGAAGGCACTTGGCCAAGGTCGCACAGGTGAGCCTCAGCAAAGCCGGGATCATACTCACATCTCTTGGATCCAGATTCAGAGCTCTTTCTGTTGGTCTGCATCAGAGAGGTGCTCGGACATAGTCTGGATCTTCTCTTTCCTCCAACCTCAAGCCCTGACACAAGACTAACAGGTCAGCCCTGTCTTACATCATGCCCACCCCCCAGCCAACAGGATGCAGCCTCATTTGCCAGTCTCTGATCTAGAAACTTAAACAAGACATCAAGATAAACAGCTTAGCTTCCAAATATTTAAAACTGAAGGTCTGGAAGGGACCTTAGGAATTGCCTTTTCCCAGTTCAAGGTGAGGAAAATGAAGCCCAGAGAGGTTAAGGTGATGGTGATTAGGATAAGTTGATTAGGATTGGAATCCAGACCCTCTGGCCCTCTGTATGATGCTCCTCCCAGGAGAGACCTTCACCAGCAAGGCCAAAAATTCCATTTTAGGAGGCGGTTCAGTTTCTCTTCCAGGACCTTTCTTGCTATTCATTGGGTAATGAGTCAGTTTCCTTTGAATGTGCCCAATTTGCATAATCTGCTCTAGTTTTCCCTGGGAGTGAATTAGAACCCAGTGTAGGGAAGCTTTCAGCTCTTGGGTCACTTGAAGATGTGGAAGTGATTTTGGGGGGCATAGTCTCTCGGTTAAAAAGAAGGATTAGGCGTGGGTGGGTAAGCAGGCTAGGGAAAAGCTTAGGGTCACCCAGATTCATGATGGGCCCGACCTCTCCCCAGCTAGGGCCATTAATGAGACAAAGGTTGACAGGAGAAGCACCTGGGACAGCTCCCCACTCTGAGCCTCCCCACTGATCCTTGTCCTCAGACTTCCACTGCATGGGGCCTTCTCCTCCTTCTTCATGATTCCAGGTTTCCTGTGCTTCTCCTTTCATCCCGTTCTTTGATGCCATCTCTTTGGGAGCAAGGAGCATGACAGCTCGCCTTCTCACCTGCTTGGCGTCACCCTGTGGGTGGAATTCTTCTCTCCTGTGACTCCCAAGTGCCCTGACTGGGACGGGGCAGGCCTAGGCTGCTGGGTGGAAGCAATGTGAGGAGCAGACAATCACTTCCCCGCTCCTGGAGGGCCCTGGTAGATCAGAAGGATCCTGGCTGCCAACGCCCAGACCATGGGGGAGAGTGGAGGAGGACTGCTGTGTCACTAACCAAGCAATGGGGAGAGATGCTGGGGGAGCCCTGGGGGGAGGGGGAACATTTTGTGTCACCGGTGAGAGAGACTTCTGAGGACAATTCTTAGAACAGCTAATATTTGAAAGTTCTTCAGGGAGGTCAAAGGCAGAACGGGCTTCCCGGGGACACTAATGAGGCCTATCTTTGCTTTTTTCCATAGTAAAGAATCGGGAACAAGGAAGGCTCCCAGGATTGGAGACCAAGTACCTACATAATGCTGTGTGAATGTCATGGCTCGGCCTGGTGCCTCAGAGAAGCCTCAGCTGCCCCGGATGATGCCAAGAGAGGTAAGTAGCAGCAGAGAAGCATTGCACACCATGATCGTTAATAATAGCAGCCATTAAGCCCTTAGAAGCCTCTTGCATTGGCCCCTCCCCGACAAGTGGAGGGAGATGCTGTTGTAATCACCATGTTAGAGGTGGCAAAACTGAGTCTGAGAGCAACATGTAAGTCACAGTACTGTCGAAGGAGGAGGCTGTGTGTTCATGACTGATGACAGAAGACTTGGGGAGAAAATGTCCTTCCTTTGGGTTCAAGATATGAGGGACCATCACGTCCTGGCAGACATGGCTGCCCAGCTGGTTAGTGCTGCTCAAATGCCTTTTTCTCTTGTTCAATTTTTATGCAAGAGATGGTAACCAAAGGCATAGCTAGAAGCCCACAGCAGGCAGGGCCAAGGTTGGCCAACTCCCTGTGGGCAGCACCCAGCACAGCCACAATTGTGGCAGGCAGGGCAGGGCAACCTTAGCACTCTTCTCTCTGGGCCAGTTCCTGACCACGGTGAGGTCAGGCTGGCCAACCTCTTGCCTGTCCTGATTCTGATCTAAGGAGGGGAAAATACAATATGTTCAAAGGCTTGATGAAAAGCCTTTCAGATAATTTCAGCTGCACAGAAAAAATAGCAATCCCTCTGAAGAATGGGCTTTCATATCAAAGTGTCCTGAGGAGCAGCTCTAAGTGGAAGCAGTATGGGGCAGCAGAAAGCCCACTGGAGACAGAGACAGGCTACGTGGCCTGTGGTCCCAGTTTTCTGCTAATTGCCATGTGTGCTCAGTTCTGATCTGAAGTCTTTTCCTCTCTTCAGGTCCAAGTATCTCTTCTGTAAAATGACAGACTGGGGCCACATCTCATTTAAGGTCCCTCCCAGCCTCAAAGCTCAGTATCTTTTAATAGCTTAGAATAGGATCTGAATTAATTGATGGAACAATCTCAGGCAGATTATTTCTAGGATGTTGGAATCTGTACAAACACTCATAAAAACACGGCAACATAATTGTTAAATCTAGCAATTCTACATTGATTCTAGTTTGGCCTAATTCAAGTTCTGTTATCAAATGGTTAGGGCTGCAAACTTGGAAGTCTGAGCATTCTCCTGCTGACCCTAAAATAATGCATGAAAATAATGAAGCTTCATTTTTCAAATATATAAAGAACTGCATCAGATTTATAAGAATACAAGTCATTCGCCAATGGATAAATGGTCAAACTGGCAGTTTTCAGATGAAGAACTTAAAGCTATCTACAATCATAAGAAAAAATGCTCTAAACGATTATTGATTAGAGAAATGCAAATTAAAACAACTCTGAGGTACCACCTCACACTTATCAGATTGGCTAATGTGATAACAAAGGGAAAATGATAAATGTTGGAGGGGATGTGGGAAAACTAGGACATTGATACATTGTTGGCAGAGTTGTGAACTGATCCAACCATTCGGGAGAAGTTTAGAACTATGCTCAAAGAACTATAAAACCATGCATACCCTTTGATCTAGCAATATCACTGCTAGACCTATATCCCAAAGACATAAAAAAGGCAGAGGAAGGCCCTTTAGTACAAAAATATTCATAGCAGCTCTTTTGGTGGTGGCTAAGAATTGGAAATTGAGGAGATTCCCATCAATTGGGGACTGGCTGAACAAGTTGTGGTATATGATTGTGATGGAATATTATTATGTTATGAGAAAAAACAGATAGGATGATCTAAGAAAAAAAGAAAAAAAACCCTAGAAAGACATATAAACTGATACAGAATGGAGTGAGCAGAACCAGGAGAATGGTATATACAGAAACAGCAATATTGTATGATGAATTGTGAATAACTTAAGTATTCTCAGCAGTACAGTGACCCAAGATAATCCCAAAGGTCTCATGATGAAACATGCAATCCACCTCCAGAGAAAGAGCTGAACATGTCTGAAAAAAAGACCAAAGCATACCATTTTTTCTTTCTTTCTCTGTCTTCCTTCCTTCCTTCCTTCCTTCCTTCCTTCCTTCCTTCTTTCTTTCCTTCCTTCTTTCCTTCCTTTATTTGTTTTTCAAGTCTTCTTATACAAAATGACTAATATGGAAATGTTTTACATGTTTGCACACATAAAGCCTATATCAGATTGTTTGCCATCTCAAGGAGGGGGGACAAAAGGAAGGGAGGAGGGTAAAGAATTTGGAACTCAAAAATTAAAGAAAAGAAAAAAAAACATTAAATTGGGGAAAGTAAAATATTATTTAAAAAAATATTGAGGCCTGAGCTTTAGAGCAGCTGCCTCGTCACATTTCCAAAGGGAGTCATGGACTTTGGTCATGTGGTCATCTTGTGTCCGCATCCTTCTTTGGACGCTAGTATTTAAGAAGGAAATGGGACTCTGGTGAGGTTAGAGACTTGAAGAACCCCTTATGTATTGTTTCCCCAAACGCTTCCACGTCTGGCATTTCAGCTTTTTCTCAAGATGACCTTCGAGGGCTGGACCACTGTTGCGTTGGCCATTTTATGGATGAAGTCACTGAAGCAGCAAAGTGCTTGGGTCACTGGTTTGAGGGAGGAGGAGGGGGAGGACTAGCTAAGCCATGTTCTCCAGCCTTTCCTTCTGCTTGTCTCACTGAGGGATGCTGCTGCCCAGGAGCTCCTCCAAACAGAGGCTTAGTTTAATTTTAATTTTATTTACCACACGTGCAGCATCTGATGGCGTAGTTCAAAGAGTGCTGGACTTAGAATAAGGAAGGCCTGAGATTGAACCCTACCTCAAACAGACATTTCCCAGCTGACCTTGGGCAAATTAATCAATGTTCCTTCTCCTCAATTTCATCATCTGAAAAATGGGTATAATGATGGTACTTGCCTCTGAGGGTTCTTTGAAGATCAAAGGTGGTAATGGATGTATTACAGCCCTATATGAATGTTAGCTGTCTTCACATGATAAAATGATGATGATGATGACAGTGATGATTATTATCCACAAGACCAAGTCGCATCATGAAACCAGAGTCTCATTTACAACAAGGGGATTTGGGGATTTCTTTCACTTTCAATGTCAAACTTCCTGAAAGTAGATGCTCCATCTCCTGGCTCCAGGCATTTTCTCTGACTGTCCCTGATGACGGAAATGTTCTCTCTCCTCATCTCTGGCTCTCGGCTTCCCTGGCTTCCTTCAGGTCCCATCTAAAATCCCATCTTCCCCAAGAAGCCTCCTATCTACCCCGTCTTGATTCCAGTGCATTCCTTCCGTTAAATCTTCCCCATTTGTCTTGTATATTCCTCGTTTGTACATAGCTGCTCACATATTGCTTCCCCATTAGATTGTGAGCTCCTTGAGGATAGGAACCATATTTTGCCTTTTCTTTTTATTTCCACATCTTAGCATAGTGCCTTAGCCTGACACTTAATGGGCACTTAATACATGCTTATCGATTAACTTATTGATTGACATATTTTAGAGTCAAGAGAGCTAAATGACTGACTTAACCCTTTAGCCTGTTTGAGCATAGAGCCTGGACTGATTGACTGGGGTGGACCAGGCTACAGTGGGCAGGAAAATTAGCCTTTCATGCTTCGTAGATAAGTACGTTACCTCAAAGAGCCAGAGATCTCATGTTGTTGGTGTTGCAGAGCCACCCTGCTCTGCTCAGCCCCCACCATCTCCCCATGAGTCTGAACTCCCAGCCTACCCTCACTCCCATGAATTTCCCCTGATCAGGCGTTACCTCTGGCCTCGCTCCCATTTCTGGCTCTATTTGTTCTACCCAGAGGAAGTTCTTCAATCTTTCTGTCTTTCCAAATACCATGACATTCTATCGCCTTCCATTGGCAGAGAGTCCAAAATAAAATTATTTTAAAGACTTCTTGTGACAGTGGGCCAGGCCACCCTTTCCACGGTGCTGGAGGTTTTGTTTCCCAGAGTCTTTGGGTCCTTGGGCCTAGGTCCCTTCCCATAGTGCATTGCACATTATTCTTTTAATCCAAGTCAAGTGTGAGAGATAATAGGGAGCCTAGGGTCCTGAGTGGAGGTAAACTCCAAGCAAAGACCAAACCCCACAGGTTGGATGATCCCCACTCTGCACAAATCTGCCTCCTCCCCAAACTTCACGAGTGGGCCACATGAGTCCAAGACAGATGACAGAAAGGGAAAGAGGAACTGAGGTGGGGGTGTATGTAAAAGGTCATTAGTGTCAGTGGCCTTCATTGAGCATGGGTTAATTCACCCTGAAAAAAAGAATCCGTGCACAATGGTGCTCTGTCTGTAGCCTGGAGGGCTGCTGCGGCAGAGTGGCAACATGAGGCGGACACTGACACATCTGTGGACTGAGCAGCAGAAGACCAGCTTTCAAGTCTTGGCTTTGTCAATGTATCTTCTTGGACAAGTAGCTTAGCTTCTCTGGGCCTCAGTTTCTTGGCTTAGAAAATAAATAGCATGGATTTAGCAATCTCTGAGGTCCTTTCCCAACTGTGTAGTTGTGGGATTAAGTTGTTTGGACACCATAACCTGCTAATGAGTGACTCTAAGGTTTAAAATGTAAGTGTAGAGTCTACCCTAACTGCCTACTATGCCCCAGTCATTGAAACTTGTTCTGTCCCATTTGTAAGACCCAGACCCTGAGAGAAAGGACCAGCAAGGGGCATGGCTTTTGCCTCTTTGCACTTGGGAAAGGGGCTGACTTCTTCATGGCACTTAAACCCAAGCAACTCTGAAGAGCAACTTGGATGGTTATCTTGGAACATAGTGATATAAAATGGAATTTCATTCATCCATCCATAAAAGAGTGGCAGTTGTGTGCAGTAGGAAGATCACTGGACTTGGATCTAGAGGGCCTGGGTTTGAAGTCTGACTCCAAGCTGTACTAGCAGTGTCATGATGGGCAAGTCGTTAACTTTGTATATCTGGTGATGACTATACTGTCTATTGCACAGGCCTGTTTGACGTGGAATTTTGAGAATCCTGGGTCAAATCCTCACATGAGTCATTCTCTCTTACTCCGCTGCCCCTCAAGCAGCGCTAATTAAATGAATCCCAGGCCCATCTCCCTAGTTGGACGTTGGCCACAAGCAGGACTTACAAGCATTCCCAGGGCATTCTGCAGGTCTGTGGCTTTTTCCCACAGCCCTACTTTGATGTCTCTGCTGAGGGTCTTTCTTTCTAAGGGCCTTCTGGTTATTTTGAGTTGACAGTTCTCTTGCAAGAATCTTCTGTCCTCCACTTCTGGGAATGGTGAGGCTACCATAAAGATGGTGCTCTAGGATCCTAGTGGTTGTGGATGGACACATTGTCAAATAAGAAATCTTTGAAAACCACATATCTCCATTGAAATGCTGGCAATTGATGATAAAGATAATGAAGATGATGAGGGATACTTTTATTAGCATTATTATTATATATACCTGTATAAAAAGATACTTTTTCCTCCAAATTTTTCAGGTCAAACTTAACATGAAGATTTTACTTTTAGTTTTGTTTTAGAAGGAACACAATTATTTTCTGCATCAGCCATTGAAATTGAAATTAGGAAAACCTTCCTAGACCTCAAAAAATGATGAAAAAGGAAATCACTGAGTCTTTTGTAAGTTTCCAGTATTGTTCCCTCAGACAAAACAAAGGCATGGTTAGAAACCACAAATGCTACCCACACACACACACACACACACACACACACACACACACACACACAAACACACACACAATCCAGTTGTTTGGCACAGAGATGGTGAGCAGCTGAGTTCCAACAGATAATATTTATGAAGAGATTGAATCCAGGAATAGCATCTTGGCAATGACAGAGCTTCCTCTCCCAATAACTGCTCTATCTTGGGGTCTGCCATTTACATGCATTGGTACCCCTCTCCTCTTTGGGAATCATGGTTATGTTTTAAAGATACAATTCTCATTTATTTTTTAAAAAATTCAAAATGAGTAGACAAACATCAAAGAAGTTGGCTGCCCACATTCCAGGGAGAAGATAGATAGCTTATAATTCCCAGAAGGAGTTACATGTTTTCTTGTTTGTTTTCAGATCAATTACTTCTCTCCTCTCTGGCTGCTTTCTGCTGAATAAAAATGGAGGTGTTGGAGTATCTCCCCCCACAACAGATTTTCCTCATCACAAGGACAGATTCTTCCAAGCTCAATTGTTTGACATGTTTAGTAAAAAAGCACTACAAAATGTACTTTTTTCAAAGGGAGGATTAAAGATCAGATGATCCAACCACTTTTTTATAGCCTGCTTTGCCCCTAAGACGAATAATTTGTTGCTTTTGGGGGGACAAGGGATCCTGAAATAGTCTTCGAACAAATCAAGGAATCCATATTGCCTTTCAAAAATGTCATGTGGCCTCTCTGCCCATCACCACCATCCCTGCTTAGAATGAGATGTGTACCTCACATATTGTCCTGCATATGCAAAGAGAAGCAACTTCCATCGATGCATCTTGAGTTTTAAGTCTTCAGGTCCCATCTTGAGCTCCTTGAAATGTTTGGGGAGTGGGAGGGTAGGTGGGGAACACTGTTTAGTTCATGTCCAGTCTCCCTAGAGAGAGATCTTTGCTACAGTCATTGATATTACCCTACAATATTTTAAGATTTCTGTCTTTTGACTGTGATATGTACTTAAGTATTTTGTCTGTTTTTGGGTCATAACTGCTTAGCCACTGGCAGTCCAGAGTGCTCATCCAGATCCAGCCAGGGCTGGGTCTGCCTTAACAGAGATTCATCTACCTTGTGAAAGGATATGAGGGAGCCCAAGCACACTTAGAAAATCTCATTTCTCCAGACTCCAGCTTCATGTTTTCATGGCTTTTGTAACACGAGAAGCCAAAGATAAAAGCAGCAGGCTGAGGGCATTTTATTTTTCTGATTAGAACTTTCTTCCTGCCAATGGAATCCTGGTCTCAGGGAGAGGCGGTGGGTCTGGGCATGATTTCTAGCCTGGTGCTCCTTGGCAAGACAGCTCTTGTTTAACTTCACTGGAGCTTAATGAGCAGCTGGTCTTTGGATCTCATTGGCCAAGCCAGATAATGAGTTGGCTCCATTTGGGGCGGTGAAGAAACTCAGGGCCATGTTGCCATCCTGTTTATACACCGGTGAAAAGGCACAAAGCTGTCATGAGAAAACAGGTGGTTGGCTGATATTTGTTGTTTAAATGTGTCCAGAATAAATTGGCTCAGATCTGTGTTGGCCCCAAGTCCTGACTGGATGCTGCACGACACAGCCTCTGAAAAATGACTCCCTACGGTGTGTTCTGAATACAGAAGGCAAATATTTGTGCATTCAGTAGATGGAGCCACCGATAATCTACTGTTAAACCACATATCATCATCCCATCTGGGAAGTTTAAAGAAAACGCATCCCCACTCATACAATGGGTTCATTGTTCTCTGTTCTTATTAGACAGTGTACAAGAGGGTTGGGAACTTGAATCTGCTTGTTTACACATGTTTTTAATTGGAGCTAGGAGAAAGGGCAGGCTCATTCTTGGGACAGCTTTCTTTCATCTTTTCCCAACAAAGAGATCCATGTAATGGACAAGGAGAACATGGGGGAGAAGGGGGGCATTCAGTTTTACAGAAGGTTGTAGAAGAGAACAGACCAATAAGGTGAGGGAGAGAGAGAGGGAGGATGATGGGGTAAGCCCATAGCTGGGTGTATTGGTTGTCTTAACCTCACACTTGCACAATACATACATTTGTGCACGTGGATCCTGGATAGTGCCCAGAAAGACAAAGTCAGTCCATATTGCCATGGGTTTTAGTCCAACTCTGGGAGCTGAAACCCTACCATTGTCTGCTTGGGCCCAGCATGCCCACAGGAGTTTGTTGAACAGAGCTGGAGTGCCTGGTAGCTCCTTTGCTGCAGCTCAGGGCCAGAGGGAACACATTCTAGACAAAGCTAGGCGAGCTCTCCCAAAAGCCCAACTAAAGCAGGTGGCATTTGTTGTATCATTTCTTGAGTTTGTTTTATCGTGGAAAGCTGAACCCATTTCATCATTGCCACATTATGAAGTCTAACCTGAGAATCTGTCCACCAGCACAGTGAACAAACGTCAATCAATATGCAAATTGCTTCCAATGTGAAAAGTACTGTGATAAATCTTAGGCTATACGTAGGTGATGAGGGAAACAAATCCACCTTCAAGGAGCTTCCATTCTTTTGGGTGGTGCAACAAATGCACCAGCCCTAGTCTCAACCTGGAACCTCTGTCAGTGCCTTCCCTCCGGAAAGTCCCTCTGCCAGATTGGTGGAGGAGCCTAGGCCAGTCGATCCTCACCTCCCAACTCTACTCTTGATTTTCCAGACATCCACACCATATTCTCACTCATATACATTTGCTCCCCCCCCCACCTTTTTGTCTCCCTTTAACGTATTATTTTCCCCCCTCTCCATTAGGCTTGAAGCTCTTTGAGACCAGCGGCCTCGTACTTTCTTTTTTTGCTTGTATTTATACCACTGACACTTAGTACAGTGCATGGCATACAAAAGGTAGTTAATAAATGTCAATTTTTCTTGCCTGATTTCATGAGGGTGGGAAATCAGAAAAGGACTCATGTGGAAAATTTTACCTAAGGTACACCTTCAATCTATTCATTGATGAACATGCACTTATTAAATTCTTCCTATGTGTCAGGCACAGGAGATAAAAAGATAAAATCAGGCAGCTAGGTGGTGCAGAGGATAGAGCACTAGCCCTGGAATCAGGAGGACCTGAGTTCAAATCTGACCTCAGACACATAACACTCACTAGCTGTGTGACTCTGGGTAAGTCATTTAACCCCAGTTGCCTCAGGGGAAAAAAAAAAGATAATATCAAAACCATCCCTGTTCTCAATGAACTGAAAGTACAGTGTGTTAAACATTTGCCCCTCTTCATATCCCCAGGTCTTATTTAGCACGCAGCCTGCCACTCAGCAAGCTTGGAATAATACTTATTGACTCGCCAGTGGGAAGCCATAAGGAAACCACTTATACAAAGTCCTGGAGGTCTGAAAAGGAGTGGTGTAGACAGTGAACATTAGCAGACTTCATCTCTCATGTTAGAGTTGAATTTCTTTCAGAGTTTGATCAAAATTAACTTCTTCCACCAAGTCTTGTCCAATTCTGCTCATTCATTTTTGACTATTCCACTACTCAGTGTCTCAGCAACACTTCTGAATACAATTCCCATTAAAGGAAATTCTGAATTATATGCATAGAGGAAATGTGTTATGGGTATATGATGGCTGGGTACAAGGGGTCACAAGTAAAACAATGGACAATTCCTGGAAAAATAGTTTCTCTTTGGTTTTTATATGCCTTTTTCCTTCATATTTTTAAAAAAATTCACAAACTTTCTGCTAATATGAAAAAGAATTCTATTCCCTAATGCCATCCAATGAGATTTGAAGAGACTTTTATGGCTGGGAGATGCCGGTCTGGGATGTCAATGAGGTAAATCACAAATGGAAAGGACTGATCAGGGGTGAGCATTGGACATGACTTTCTCTTACAAGTCTCTTTGTCATTCCTTCACTGGATCCTTCACTGGATATTTTCCTGATTCTCTGATTTCAACATGAGAGAAGGCACTAAAAACAAAGACCATCTTTCAAAAACCATCCCCTTTAACTGTTCAAACTCTAGTCTTCTCTATTGCCCCTTGTTGTTTTAAAAAAAAATAGTATTTTATTTTTCCCACTTACATATCAAGACAATTTTTAGCATTCATGTTTACAAGATTTTGAGTTCCAGATTTTTCTCTCTCCTTCCCTCCCCCCTCTGAAAATGGTAGACAATTTGATATACATTATACATGTGCTATCATGTCAAATATATTTCCACACCAGTCACAGTTGTGAAAAAAGAAAAAGACCAAAAGGGAAAAAATCCACAAAAATAATAAAGTAAGTGAAAAAAAATCTGCTTCGATCTGCATTCAGAGTCCACCAGTTCTTTCTCTGGGTGTGGATAGCATTTTCCTTTGTGAGTCTTCCTTTCTTGTCTTGGATCTTTGTGTTGCTGAGAAGAGCTAAGTCATTCATAGCTGATCATCACACAATATTGCTGATACTGTATACAATATTTTCCTGGTTCTGTTCTGCGCATTTCATTGTGCATCAGTTTGTACAAGTCTTTACATTTTTTTCTGAAAATTTCCCATTCATTTTTTTATTGCACAAGAGTATTCCATTAAATTCATATACCACAGCTTATTCAGCCATTCCCCAACTGATGGACATCTCCTCAGTTTCCAATATTTTGTCACCATGAAAAGGGCTACTATAAGTATTTTTACACATATAGGTCCTTTGCCTTTTTGTATGATCTCTTTGGGATACAGACCTACTGGCGGCATTGCTGGATCAAAGAGTATGCACAATTTGGTTTTCCTTAATGCATAGTTCTGAATTGCTTTCCAGAATGGTTGAATCAGTTCACAGCCCCAGCAACAGTGCATTACTGTCCCAATTTTCCCACATCCTTTACACCATTAATCATTTTCCTTTTCTGTCATATTAACCAATCTATTAGGTGTGACTTGGTACCTCAGAGTTGTTTTAATTTGCATTTCTCTAATCAAAAGTGATTTGGAACACTTCATATGTGTATAGAGAGTTTTGATATATTTATCTGAAAACTGCCTGTTCATATCCTTTGACCATTTATCGCTTAAAGAATGGCTTGTACCATTGTAAATTTGACTCTGTTCTCTATATATTTGAGAAATGAGGCCTTTATGAGAGACACTTGCTGTAAAGATTGCTTCCTAGCTTACTTTCTAATCTTGGTTTTATTAGTTTTGCTTGTGTACAGCCTTTTCCAATTTAATATAATCCAAATTATCTATTTTATGTTTTGTAATGCTCTATCTCTTGTTTTGTTATGAATCTGTAACTCATTTAACTTCTTTAAGAATTTTCATGCTATACCATTTGTTTCATATGTGTTTAGTATTGCTATTACTTCATTGTCTACAGTACCTTTTATAGCAAGGTATAGTTTCCTTCCTTATCTGTTTTAATTAAGTCCATTTTTGTTTTTGCTTTGTCTGCATTGCTTTTTTTTAAAAACTCAGCTGAAGCATAATAGGTTCTGCTCCAGCCCCTTACTTTTACTCTGTGTATGTCTTTCTGCTTCTAGTGTGTTTCTTATAAGCAGTATATTGTAGGATATTGGTTTTTGATCCACTCTGCTATTTGCTTCCATTTTATAGGAGAGTTCATCCCCATTCA